ATTAGTTAATTGAAAATTTTCTAATAACTACATCTGTTTTTTAAAAGTTAGCTTAATTTCTAACCAAAGTGGTCTAGTAAGCTCTAAGCTTATTGAGTACAGGGATAGAATTTTACCATTTTATTGTCAACAGTGTTAGTACAATTAAAAGAATGGCTTTCAAAAATAAAAAGCAGAGTGTGGCAGTAAAATTATCCTTACAGTTTTTTCATTAGCACTATTTTCTTATTTTTGCTATTCTTCATTATCAAATTGCTTATGAGGTTTCAATGTGCCTGTGTCAGAGATAATCTGGAAATTGTTTAAGATAGAATAGTTACTGTGTATAAGTATTCTTCCAAAGGAGAGTTTGAATTTGAAAATAAGAAAAAGAATTTGTTTAAAAAGAGAAAGAGGGCAGGAGATTTAACTCAGTGGCACCACACCTGTCTTGCAAGTGCAAGGTCCTGAGTTCAATTCCCCATACCAACAAAAAGGAAAAAAAATAAAAGGAGTTGTGCAATTGAAAATACCTGAAAAACAAGTCACTGTAGAAAGAATTATGTAATTGTTCTTTGCTGATGGTGAGGGGAGTGAATCTTTTATCTACTATAAAGCCATACTTCAGTATCTGCTATTTTGAATTACAGACATATTGGTGACTGTGTTAGTTACTTTTCTCTCATTGCTGAGACAAAACACCCAACATTCAAAGTCAAAGGGAAAAGAGTTCAGTTAGCTCACAGTTTGTCGAGGTTTCATTCCATAATCGGCTGGCTCCAAGACAGAGTGGCACATGGCAGAGGGGTGTCACAGGGGAAAGACAGTTCATGATGCCCACACAGTAGAAAAAGCAACAAGGAAACCTAGCAACAGCATCTTTCTGCCCCTATTATCTTATCCAGACTACCTGGATTAGGGAGGTGCCTAACCAGTCAGTTTACTGGTTTAGTGATCATATGCCCTTAATCCCGGCATCACACACTCTACATTCAGCCACCCCTGAAAAAGCCACCTCTGACTGCATCAGTCTTTGGGGGGACATCTAGGTCAAGCTCATAACAGTGACTAAAAATTGAACTAGGCTTATATTAACAGCAGTTTTGGGGGGACTGTGCTTCTTAGAGTTTTTGACAATAAACTCTTTGTGTATAACTACTGCATATTTCTTATTGTTTTGTTTAACTCAGCTAGCCTTTTATTAGTGTCTTCTAAAATCTCCTGAATCGTGTTCATTTTTACTTCCATTATCTGTTTAGTTATGATTTCTGTGATCCCACTGAGTACGTCTTGTCTTTGATCTGTTTTCCAACCTGTGTTATTCTTTCAAGTAACTAAAGTCTGTAGCTTATACTGTTCTGCCCCTCAGTGCCACCTAGTTAGCTTTGGAGAAGTTGGGAGTTTGGGAGGCATTTTGTTGACTTGTCTTTTCATGCTTCTATTGTTTTTACTTGTTTTGTTTTATACTGAGGTTTGTGGATGCTTATAGTGTAAAGATTTTGTTTGTAGTATAGACATCTCTTTAGTTGCTTTTCAATTGTGTACTTTGGGCATGCCTGACTATAATCCTTTGCCTCGGCCCCAAGATGTGACCACCTTAGTTGATTTGAGAGGGAAAGATGCAGTGCAGTAGTCCCCAAACCAAGTTCTCTGGGAATGTACTCGAGTACTCTTAATGTCACCAAGGTAATCTGAGTATTGGTTTACAGAGAAATAGAAACAATTACACAGTCCTAGCAATATCAAGCAAATGAGCTACAGTATCATCCAGGACAAATTTGATATTAGCATAAGAACCGGTTATATACTTTTAACTCCAGCGAAGAAATCCACAAAAGAATTCAACAATAATTTTACAGAGTAAACTATCAAAAGATTAACAAAACTTTATGGTTACACTATTAAGGTATAGGCTCTGGGAATGGGAGAGTGGAAGAGAAAAAAATGTGAAACCTGAAACTATATGACAGGAGAAGAGAGAAGTGGTACAAAGGATCCTATTGGGAAATAGAAGGATGCTTGTAGAATTAGCTAAAGGTAAGAGAAAACCTGATGAGAAATAGAAGATAAAAGAAAGAGAGAGAGAAACATTGAGAAATTATATAAGGAGTAAAACAGAAAAAAATAAAGGGTGAAAATTTCAAATGAAATAGGGTGCGGGGGGGGGGGGAATACAAGCCTGGCCTCTGGCTGTGTGGGCAGAGCCTATGTCCTTTAGTTTAAACACCTCAGGGAATCTCCACTCTGACTGGAATTTCCTGACCACCGCTGTCTACTTTGGCTGCTTCTCATCAGTCATTGTGGGAACGTTACTCTGGGAGTCTGAAATTGAAGCCATCCCATGGCTGCTCTGTGTCTTGAGTTCAAACAACCCTTCCCTGGAATAGTGTCTGACCAAGCACTCTCTCCAACAATATGGTGAACACTTAAAATGGAGTCCCTCACCACCTGTTGCCTGTCAAAGAACCGATATGGAGGCAGAATCCCATGCTTTCCCTACAGACCAGAGCACCCACCAGTCAATTTCACTGCCACATTTCTCCCTGAGGCCCCCTGGGGTCCCCAGCTTTCACTATAACTCTATAGATTCAGTCTCCGTTTCCTGCATGCCCCACAGCTAGAGCTGGGGAGAAAGTGGATATTGTCCCTTCCCTTCTCCATGTTGTGTTCTGTCTCTTCAATATTTTTGTAGGTTTTAATTTTCCTGTGACAGCCTTCCTGGTTCCAAGGGATATCTGTCTGTCTGTCTGTCTGTCTATCTGTCTTCTATCTAATCTATCTCTCTCTCTCTTTCTACCCCAGTCCCCTTCCGTCTGTCTGTCTTCCTCTCACATCCTCTAAATTGTTATTTTTCAGTGTCTGAATTCCAAACCTTGGAGAGGCTGAGTTTTTATAGTGCTTACTACTCCATTTTCTTGGAAGTCACCATCCCCAGTTTCTAGATCTTCTGGACTTTTACTTCATTATATAAATGTTCTCAGAATTATTTACTGTAAGCATGTATCCAAGTATGACTTGTTCAATTTTTAAAATCCAGCTTCTGTGGACTTTGAAGTACATTTATGGAAAAACAAGCCACAAATGGCAAAATTGGCTTTTAAAAAGGTATCTTTGAATCATATTCGGCTAATAGAGTAGTGTCTCAGGTCAAAAGGATTATCAGCTTACATTAACTGGGCTTGTTTTCTTACATGTCACTGGGATTTATGGTTTTAACTTCTGACATCCAGAGTCATAGATTAGCAAATACATTTTCTTTTAAGTAGCACCACCTCTGGCGTGATCACTGAGGGTCACTCCTACATAAATGTGCAAATGGAGTCAAATTGTTTTTCCATTCCCTTAGGTGAACTCTTCTAAGTGATAGGAGGTTTTGACCCAAGGAAGAGTTTCAGTCAAGTTTGGGGCATGATGACATAGTAAAAGCAATCCTCAGAAATGCAAACACATGGTGGGAGTTGAGATACGGAAAACAAGTTGGCCTTGAGTCAAGGATTAACGGCTTCAGCGATTCTGTGAGAAAATGAATTCCAACTAACCTCTGACTTGTTAGCAAAGTTCAGGACAGGCCAGCTGTAAGTCAAAGATATGGTCCCTGCCTAGCCCATCCTGGAGATAAATGTTAAAGCGAATTGAGAACATTAAGAAATTTCTAGAAGTGCCACATCAACGTTGGAAATTATATATTATTTAGGCAAAAGGAGAACATTTAGTGGGCAGAGGGAGTCACGGTAACTTTCAGTGTGTGAAGGTCTTTTGTAGTTTATCTATTGCTACAGATTGGAAGCCTAGCTATTCCAGGTAGAAACTGCAAAGAGGCAAATTTTAGCATCTGTATAAATTAATATTCTTATTCTTTCAGCAAACTAGTAACAAAACAGACCACCCTCCAAAGCTGGGGCCTCCTGCTAGCTCTAGAAACTGACATTCATTAACTTGCTTGAGAAGGAGGCTGGTAGATCAGATAATCCAAAAATGTCTCACTATGATCTAATTCCAGGACTTCTTAAGGCAATAAAACTCATTCCAGAACTAAGGATTTCAATTCTGCACCCCTTTAAAAAGAGGAGTAGGACAAAACTACATAAAGTTACACTTTACTTTGGTACAACTGAGATAGGCGAAGACTTTCAAAGACTTTCCTATAACACAGAAAGACCATATGGATAGTCAAACAAATAGACAGTACCAAAATTAAGAACAAAGTAGTCTGGATTGCTAAATGGATTTCAAAATGTCAAGCATGTCCTAACTTGCCTCAGCCCTCATGGCCCTTGCCCCAATTCATCCGCCTCCTTCAAATTTCTACTACAACACCCAAGGGATCCCTTGGGTTGCCTGGGCCCCTCATTGTACAAATAGGGAGCAGTTAGAGCCACTGGGCATAATACTTTGTATTGTCAGGAATTTGAAGAGTAGGTGCTGTGAATGCAACGTTTTCTTCCTTGTGGAGAGCTTTCCAGTGGTTAATTTATAAAGAAAAAGAAATGTTTCTGGAAATGTAATGGCCCAGAGAACATTGCTTTTATGTGAACTCTGTAGTTGAGGGGAAACCAATAATTCAGTCAATACTGGTCTGAGACCCAGTAGGCACACAACTGAAGAACACTGCTTTACTGTGGGAGCCAGGGCTGCAGCACAGGTGAGTGGTGGCTCCTCCAGTCCCCCTCTCCACCCTGTCTCCACACAGCACTTGGCTCTCTCAGTAAATTTGGACAAAAAAATTTTTTGTTGTTTTTTTGAGTCAGGGTCTCACTATGTAGGTGAGACTGACCTGGAACTCACTATATAGTCCAGGCTGGTCTCGAACTCACAGCGATCCTCCTGCCTCAACCTTCCAAGTGCTGGGACTATAGACGTGCGCCACCATGCCTGGCCAAGTTGGACATAATTTTAAAGAATGTTGTTTTGAAGGGAAGCCAAGTCATGACCTATTTAAATGCCGTATGTCTCTGTCAGACCCTATGTTTGCTATAAGCTTCATATAACCTATTACCTCTTTTTTTTTTCTACTTCTATAGTGTCCATGGAAAACATTGGTGAACAAGGTAAAATATGTTATTGTTACAGATGTAAAATGTTAAAATAGTTTGAAAAAAGTTTTATCCATTAAGATTTGGTTGAGATAAATAAATTATTATTTGAGAATATGGAAATACGATAGGGTAAATAATGTCTAATTTCTCTAAATTTGCAGATTGAATTCTGTTAGACTTGACAGTGCTCTACCCTGAAGTGACCATAATTGTACCAAAGATTCTTTTTTAAAGTACAGAGATGTCAGTCATCTCTGGTCCCAACTGAGCCATCTTCAGAATGTATAAAATCTATCATTGGCCTTAATCATCTCATACTAATTTGAGTGCCTTACTGGATAATGAAAATTTTTAATGATTCTATAAGTATAAATATACCATTCTTGAGAAAATCAGAAATTGCTCTTAATGTCAAGCATGTTATGTTCTGCATTAGCATATTTTATTTAACTGTTATCTTACAGAATTAGGTTGTATACTAATGTATCATTTAGAATGAATTATCACTGTATACAAATTAATATCTTAAGTTTGTATAATATTTTAGAACACCACATAAATAATGTTTACATATATTACCTTGAAAAAAATACCCAGAATGCTCTCCTTCACAACTGTCTTGCATGATAAATAAGGTGTTTGAACTCCCACTGGAGGAAATATCTCCTTGTCCTGATGGTCCCTATTTAAATATGTTCTCATTACAACAGTGGCAACCATCAGCATCAACTATAGTTAAGCAAATCAGCAAACAAATTCTCAGATAGGAACTACTTTTGCTATCTCTGTGAGTAAAGCAAAGTTTTTTAAAACCTGAAAATTTTACTAACATTTATTTCTTGCTATATTTACTCTTTAAAATTGCAGGAATAACTGCCCTATTTTTACAATTTAGGAAAATTTGAATTTTACTGTTAGCTATTTTGCCAGTAGATGTACCTGTCTACAGATAGGAGGGTTCTTTTCATGGGTGAAGAATAGATCTAATTATGCATTTAGTGATTAAAAAATACTCTCAGCTGTATGTTTATATTCAATGAATTATGCTATTCCACTGTGATATAAATGAACTTTTATAACTTATTATAATGGATAATATCAGTATTTTAGAATAAGCAGAGCCTTTCTCAATGCCATGATCTGTGTACATATTTGCATATTACAATGATAATTATGTTCCTCTCTTTTTAGTTGTGTGCCTGATGGCTTATCATCTACTTTTTGCAATGTTTGTCTGGTCGTACTGGAAAACTATCTTTACATTACCAATGAATCCTTCAAAAGAAGTAAGTTAAAACAATAGCAAGTTATCTTAAAGATAGAAATCAGTAATACTGATGTCTGATGAATGAATCTTCTTTTCACTAGTGTTGTAAACTTATTAAGCATATTACTTTTTTGGATTTAAAGAAGTACTATGTCTGCTAATAAATCCGTGGATTTTCACATAATATGAGTTTTCACTTAATATGAGTTTGCAGCAGATGGTCATTGTATTTCAAATATTAAATTTGTTAGGCATTCTACTTCTACTTTAAAGTCATAGGAGGAATGAATAGATAGAGCTGGAAGGTACATATGATTCTATTAACATTATCATACTAAAGATGTCAGCCACTAGAAACAGTATCACATAGCTTCTGTCCATTCAAAAGCTCTATAGCTAGTTGATAGCTTCCAGGTAACTAGACTCCATGTATCTTATTGTTCTGCCATGTGTAGCCTGTATTCCAAAGGTCATCTCTTGGCCTAACATGGCAGCTCGGTTCCAGAAAGTATGTATACATTCTAGCTAAACCAAAGAAGGTAGGGAAGAAAAGTAAATATCCTTACCTTTAAGAACTTTCTGGAAGTTACTGATGCTGTTTCCACTTGTGTTTAGAACTTAATCATATGGCCACATATATTCACATAGATGCTGGGAGCAGAGTCTGTATTCTCCATGGTCATGGTAACCACTGCAGCAGAAGGGGAGTGTGGTCACATGGGGACAGCTAGTAATCTGTACCACAGAATGTTTCAGATAGGTGTGATTAAATTAAATTTGTGTTTTGAATGATGATTTGATTTGTTTCTTGGTCTTTTGTTTGATTAAATGTTCTTAGATCACAGGACTGTGTCTTACACATTTTTACATCCTTGGTACTAGCTAACAAGCAGTACACTTGTTAAATCAAAATAAACTTTGCTACCAGAAATAACAGCATAGTTTTTGTGAGCCAAGGTTTTTTAAAAAGGCATCATTGCAGATTGTTTCCTGAAGAAGTAGTTTGAAATGCAGCTATGGTCAAACAAGCCAATAATTATGCTATTTGACTTGCAAAAGGATAGTAAAAACAAAACCACAAATATATGCACAGAAATAATGGTATGTCTAGACTAAAATGACTTTTCCTGTTCTACACTCTAATTTTCCTTTCCTTCTCCCTTTTTTCCTCTCTCTTACGAGATTTGCTTCTTTTCTATAATCTCTTTTATAGAGTGGTACAGGATGAAAAGACTTTGAAGGCTGCCATTAGGAACAAAGAGCCCTTGCTTGATGGTTAAAAATCTTAGGTTCTTCCACAAATAAAATGTAATCTCGGGATACTCTGTCAATTTCATTAGCAGTCATTACACTCCTCACTTGTAAAATGAGGATTCTAGGCTTAAATTGACAATAACACACTCTCATATACTAAACAGTTTTGAAAATTTGAGTTAAAAAATTAAAAGTAAAGGTAACATAAAAACTAAAAAATTAGAAGTAGAAATAATTTAAGAAAAAGTATCGTTAATGTTTTCTTGTCCCTATTGAGAAGAAACTTGGGCCCTGCAAATTTAAATTTGCCTTTTTCATAATAAGATTGTTACATTAATCATACTTTTCAATTATAAGATTTTCTTCCAACGGTAAGGTCATATAACTACAGTAAATTATATTTTAAAAATGGAGATGAGGCAAAAAAGAAAAGGAAAATTTTCTGTACCACTAATTCAGGCACTTTACATTTTGCATTTTTTCTATTATTTTTGTATAGAGTGTACCTGTTAAAATTTTTTACATAATAGTCTATCATTGCCTTATTGCCATTTTTAGTAACAGCATATTTTCAGTGAAATATTTAATAAATGCTTAATCACATCCATTTTGGACTTTTAGGCTGATCTCAACTTTTCATATACATAATGCTATCATTAGCTCTTTCATACATATGAGCTTTTATCCATATTTTAGATTACTACTGCAATATAAATTCTCAGAAGTAGAATTACTAGATAAGGAAATTTAAGTCATTTCCAAATTCTCAGAAGCATTGTAGCTATTTCCAGCATTACATGGGTTTTATCAGACCCATGGCATTGCATGTTACCATTAAGAACTTTTGGTTGCCAGAAAATTTTATGTTTTAATAGGCAAAAGTTTTATGATTTAATTTGTGCATTTAAGGTATTAGCAAGATTATATTTTGTCCCAAGTGAAAAGCAGCTGCCAAACAAGGAAATATAGCTATGTGAATACTCTTTTTTTATTAGATCTTAGTTTTCTTGGAAACTTTTTTTTTTTGTTGTTATTAGCAATCAAACTCCGGGCCTTATACTTCCCAGGCAGGCACTGTGCTGCTGAGCTATATCCCTCGCCCTGATCTTAGTTTTCGTTTCCTAATTTGTAGCATTCATGGAAAATTATACTCTCCTTTACTTGAAAATTGTGCCTGTGCTGAGATTTTGGTTTCTGATAACATTCTCCAGTAGAGGAAAGCAGGCTCCTTGAAGAAATCACACATTTTAGGACTATGGCAGGAAGTGTTTGAGATGAGATTGTCACAGCTTGTAGTGCAGGAAATAAGGAAATATCGAGAAAAAATTGATGAGGGTATATCAGAGGACACAATCAACTAAGAGAACTCCCAGTGGTAACGTTAGAATAATTTGAGCCTTAAAAATAATGTTAGATTATAACCCAGAGCATAAGATATATAGGAAGCTGGGTGTGGTGGCACTCTCCTGTAATCCCAGCACTCAGGAGGCTGAGGCAGGAGGATTACTGCAAGTTTGAGACTAGCCTGGGCTACATAGAGAGTTCCAGGACAGTCTGAACTACATAGTGAGACCCTGTTTCAAAAAAACTAACTAAATAAGTAAATAATAAAATACAATTCTACAGGAATGAAGTCTCTTTATATATGTTCTATAAGATGATTTGCTGTTATTTTCAACAATGTGTTGAGGTTTGATTCTTTGTTTTACACATTAACTGTAAGTGCCAGAAATATTTTTGAATATATTCTATTGCAGTTTCTTTACCCATTATCCTATTGATGAACATTGGCTTGTATTTATATGTTACATTTCAAGCAATGATGCTGTGGTTATCCTTGTATCTGTCTCCTGGAATATGTCTAGGGAAGTTCATACACTACAGACTCGTGTTTGTGTGCCTGTGTGTGTGATTATCAAGTGGGAGCACAAGCAAATTTTCATGTTTCTCATGTATTTTCAACTAGTTGGGCCAAATTGGCGGTATAAGAAGTAAAATGAACAATTAGTTCTTTTGAATACTGATGTAATAATTCTCCTTATGTTAAAACTTAGATGAGAAAGTTAGTTTGATTTGTTTCTCTTTTTGTTCTTAATGGCACTCAAATGAAAAATTTATCCATTGAGCCATATGTGTTTTGTGCACCATTTATCTATCATATAATGAAAATTTGGATAGAAGTCATAGTTTATAAGTACTTTTGATATTCTATTCCTTTTGAATTTCACATATACCTAAAGAACTAGGCAGGATCATTATTATTCTCTTTTTCTAGATGCATAGTGATCTGTGAGATTAATGAAATTGTCCAGATTTGAAACTCTATTTCGTCTCTGAATACATACCATTAATATTTTATAAAAATACCCTTTGGATAGAGTAGAGTAGATCAACATGTTATAACTCCTTTGGAAATACTGATTAAAATTTAATTTATTCCACAGTTCCATCTCTCTTATGCAGAGAAAGAGTTGTTGGAGAGAGAACCAAGAGGGGAAGCCCATCAGGAAGTTCTTAGGCGAGCAGCCAAAGAGCTTCCCATCTACACCAGGACCATGTCTGGAGGTGCGTCAGCACTGAGCACTTTGGAACAGTATCCAAAGAATGTGTTGTGGTACCTGTTAGCATTCTTACACCTGAAACTGTCAAATGCTCATTTAAAAATACTGTTATTTCTCAGATTACTGTTTTATCCTTCCTGTACAATCCTATAAAAACAGAATGGAACCTAAATACCACTGTGGCATAGTGATCTCAACTAAATCAGAGCTGACTTTAATCCTATTCCTCCTACTTAGTTGTGACTAAGTGAAGATGTGAGAGCTGTTTAAATCTTGATTTATACTAGGACTTATTTTCAAAACTTTAATTACAGACTTTCATCTTTGTATTGAAGGACATGATATTAATTTTAAGTTTTTTTTGTAAATATGTAACAGTAACAATATAATTTATGTGTGTTTGAACTTCTTACAGAATTGACTAAATTAGTGTATCTCTTACTTTGGTCATATTTTCAAGGATTTTTTTTTTCCCTGTAAGAGGGATCAAACTCAGGGCCTTGGGCTTGCCAGGCAGGCATGGCACCACTGAGCTACATCCCCAGTGAGGAATTTTAACATCTAATTAAGCAATTGCCTTAAAAACTAGTGCACATGAACTATTGATGCTTGTCCACTAAGACTTAATAGAAATGTTGTATGGTGTGTTGTGTTTAGACCTGTGCTGCCCATTATGGTATCCACTAGCCCACTGGGCTACTGAGCACTTAAAATATGTCTAGTTCAAGTTGACATATGCTTTCAATTCAATATACATGACTGGTTTTAAAGATTTAGTATGAAAAAAGAATGTAAAATACCTCATTAATATTTTATAATATTCATATTTGTTGCTAACTTGCGTTAGAATCATAATTGAATCTAAATCTGACACACAATTTTATCCTGTTTATTTTCGTTGTTCCCCAGTGATGAGTTACATCCTGTAAAACACTAGTGTGTTTAAATAGAATTTTCAAATCAGTCATCCATAATTATCTTTGATATTTGTATTACAGAAAAAAAGATGAAGGCTTCCACTGCAGGAACTAAATTTCTTTATTGAAAGTACTTCCTCCAGTAATCACTTGTAATCTTGAATCTTGCCTAACAGAGATATGAAATCTTTCCCAGCTTAAGGAACTAATAGATTTATTCATAAACTTCAAAATTTTGTTTCAACAGTTGTATTCTTACCCATTTGTCCTAGCTGGTTGTGTTCTCACCCAATTATTCAGAGGAAAGAATATGATTCATTGAGGGAGACTTTAAGAGAAATGAACATATCTATAATAGAAATAGCCACTTCTGCACATGTCTGAACTGTAACTACTGATAACTGAAATACCTTTGAAAAAATTCCTTATGAGATCCTCTATCCTTGGGAAATCTCTCCAGAGAACTCTGGCTATAGGGAAGTCTTCTTGATTCTTTTGTTTAATTTGAACAAAGTGGGATATCTTTTTTCTTAAACCAAATTTAGTATGTTTTTTAAAATTTAAATTTGGAGAAATGATAAAAGCCATTTAATTTTATATTCAATTCTATGTTAAATTAAGTGGAACTTTTTATTCCTAGCAATACGATATTGTGACAGATGCCAACTCATAAAACCAGATCGCTGCCATCACTGTTCCGTCTGTGATAAGTAAGGGAGATTCTTTCTTCTAACATGTCTACATGCTAGTGGTCTTTTGCCTGTATTTATTTTTTGTTTTCCAGATTGTCACCTTTATTCTTTATTCATGCTTCTCAGATCGTTATTAGAAAATGTAATTGGTATAAGCGCTTGATTTTAATACCATGCAGCTTAGCGCCACAATTATTCCTTTTCCCCTAGATTCGTGATGACATGAAGTACATGATTCTTAGTAGTGTTGACTTGGCTAGTTCAATTTAGCAAATTCTTCTTTTGTGAATATTTTCCACCTTTATAAAGATAATTCATCTGATTTTATGCTAGAGTTGTTCTATATTCAATGTACTACATAAACAGTATAGTTTAATGGCTTAAGAATTGATGTTTAAAGGGACTATTGCACCTACGCTAGCTATCTGCAAATTTGTTAACGTTTTGAACTTTCTTCAGCATAAGGTACTTGTATGTTGATATTTTACATTATTTTTAGAAAATGTATTGATTTGCATTTTAAAGCATACATACTTTACAAAGTTCTGTTAAGTGAAGTATGGTTGTACAGTCAGTGCATGTCTGCATTCCCAACTATTCAGGAGACTGAGTCAGGAGGATTACAAGTTAAAGGCCAGCTTGGACAACATAGTGAGACCGTGTCTCAAAAACAATGAAAATAATAAAGTTTATTATTATATTGTAACTAGAAATGGTTGTAGTTTTTATTTTAGATAATAACTTTTACTATTCTACAATTGTGAGGTATGAAATTTTGCAGTATTTTATATACCACGCTATTTGAAATAACAGTATTTTATATTTTCATCTTATAATTAAATGAAATTAAATTTTGAGGGTTATTAATTTTTGTGTTTTCTTTTGTATTTAGATGTATTTTGAAAATGGATCATCATTGCCCATGGTGAGTATGGCTGTAGGTTTCTGTCCCTTTGTAAATTGTTGTAAATTAAATCACTTCTATATTTATAAAAGACTTTAGTTCACATAGCAAGTGCTTTCAGCTTTAGTTTAATTTTTATTTAATTAGCTCAAGAGAGACAACCTGTAAGTTAACAATATAAAAGTTAATTTTATATATTTGCTCAAAACAAATGATTTTATTTTATGCATATATAGAAATATATATATATTAGAATATAAATAATTATTCTAATCTATAGATGTACAGATTATAGAATATAGATATTTAGAAATACTAAAATATTTTCCAGAAATGTAGACAATGATTTATATGTTAATTATACATAGTAATACTTCAGTAGCTGTTTCTAGTAAAACATTAAGTTAAATCTTTCCAAAAGAATTAAAAGAATCATATCACAATGATATATCCATACCTATGTTTATAGCAGCACAGTTTGTAATAGCTAAAACTTGGAAACAGCCCATTTGCCCATCAGTTGGAAACTGGATAAAGAAGATGTGGTTTTTCTATAAAATGGAATATTACTCAGCTGTAAAGAATTCAAAATTAGATTCATTCATAGGAAAATGGATACATATTGAAGATATACTCCTAAGTGAAATAAATAAGTCACACATGTGTAAATACTGAATAGTTTCTCTGGTGTGAATAAACTGTAATAGTGCATAAGATCCTAATGATATAATTGACAATGTGAAATAGGAAGAAGGGCTAAAGGTGTAGGGAAAGTGGGAAGGGTAGGGGAAAGGGAATAAGGAAAAAAATAGGTGAAAATGAAAAAATGGAAATAAAGTATTTGTAAATGGGGAGGGGAGGCGCAGGTGAAGGGAGGGCAGGGACAAGGGGAATAAATGAAAACCAAGACCTGTCATGTAAAAGTACAAGATCCCAATGAGTGTAACTGTACTGTATACCTAAAATGTACCAATAAACTCAATAAAGAAAAGAAATTAAGTTAACTAAAGGTTTAATAATTTATTTTAAATAAAATGACAATACCTTTAGGAATAGAATAGCAAATACACAAATACACAGGTCTATTTAAACAAGACTTTCCACTTAGAATTTATTAATGTTTTCAAGTAAATCAGATTAGGCAACTTAATGGAAGACTATTTGAGTGATCTAATTAATGCCAGTGGGTTTTCCTGCTCTTCCCTATAATTTTTCATCTCATTGTACACAGTTCTTCTCACAGCCATGCTAAGGTTGCTGGCCAGGCTGGTTTGGACATTAATCATACTTATTCTAGCAATCTGATCTTCTTTCAGTGATAGCACAGAGGAAAGATACACATGCTCACAAATCTACACTAGACATAGCTGGAAATCTGTATATGAAGTGGTTCTTTTAGCAGGAGCAGTAAGAGAATATAGGGTCTATGATATTCTAGACTTCTGTACCCTTCTTTTCCTTAACCTGGATTTCCTGCTTCAAAGTATTGAGGCTAGTCAACTCCTGTAAGGGTGATGTTCTCTGTAAAGAAAAATCTCTAAGTAAACTTCCTTTATACTAATTTCTGTTTGCATTCATCCTTTTGCTTTTTGTTTTTTCTTTCTCTGAGCAAGTGTTCCCATCAGTATCCTGATTGCAAGTCTTCTTAATCCTCCTTCTTTTCCCCTGCCCACATCTCATGACCCACCTGTGAGTTCACACACTGTAGTGAACAACTCCATGACTTACAACAACCCTCTTTCGAGATACCTGTGTTTCTTTGCTCCTCCATCTGATGGGTCTCTTCTACTTGGGTAAGTTTGTTCAGCTCAGAATCTGGGCAGTCCAGAAATGCCAAAACATTAGCACTTCTTGGGCCCTTCAGCCAATGAGGGTCTAGTCAGTGACACATACTTTATCTGTATCTCTCCTTTTTTTTTTTTTCATTTTAAAAATTTTTATTTTTTAATTTTTGGTGAATTGAGCTGAGGATATCATGAATGTTAGGCAAATACACTTCCACTGAGCTATGTCCCTGGTCCCTCCCTTTGTCTCACACTGTATCAAACTTCGGGTCTAGAGGTCAGCTTTGAGGGGAACTCATATTAAGGTTTGTCTGGATTTTTGTGGACTCAAGATATATTTAGCAGTGGCAAAATAATAAATGGCATATATTTGACTCCAGTTTTCCAATCTAATAAAAGATGAGGAAGGGGGAAATAAGAATAATCAGTATTTATCACAAACCAGTACCTACCTAAAAAAATTATCATGTGCTTGTTATACTCATCATTACAAAAATAGAAAGTAATGATTCACCATTAAAGCAATCTCTCTAAGCCTGCAGTTAATCTGGCTGAATCAGAAACTTATAGGATAATTTGACAGTCTTTCAGAATTTGACACATCCTATTAAATAGGTGAAGGGAAATAGATACAAAAGACTCTAGAGTTTTTTAAATACCTATATGTCATACCTACATACTGTATCGCGGTCACCTTTTAGTGGCACTTGGGAGAAGTTCAGTAAACTGATTGCTTACTGCACAGACATTTCCCATGCTACAGCCCCCGACCCCACCACCATCTCAACTCTGACCACTTCCTGCAGAAAACCATAGCCTTGTCGATTGGTGAAGGCTTTGATGCCAAGGGCCTAATATTCAACTGGTGCCGGCCAGCTGAATGAAACGGTCACTTTTTAAAAAATTCAAATTGAACTTTTAAGTTAAAAAAGTGTGTAGGGCTCTGAGGCAGTGCATATATGCTTAGCATGCATGAGGCCCTGGGCCCTATCCCTAAGAAGACACTTACAAATTTGTATATATACATACTTGTGGTTCTAAATTCTAAAATCAACATATTTTTCTAGCCCATCCTCTCTTCCTTTCTTCCCCACTTACAAAGAACCAATGCTATCATCACAAGCACTCTTTAGGTCCAAATGTGTGTGTGTGTGTCTGTGTGTGTGTGGTCTGTCTATCCTTATTTTAAACACATGGCCAGGTGTGGTGGCGCACACCTGTAATCCTAGCACTCAGGAGGCTGAGGCAGGAGGATCACTGAGTTTGAGACCAGCCTGGACTACATAGTGAGTTCCAATTCAGTCTCAACTACATAGTGAGACCCTGTCTCAAAAACAAACAAAACAAACAAAAAAACCCACAAATGGCTACACTGTAGACTGAATGTGGTTTATGGGTTACCTCTTTCATTTAGTATATCCTGAATTGTTTCCATGTTAATACACAAAAAGTATTTTTACAACTATTATATGGATGTAGTTTATTAAAGGACTTTAGGACACTCTCAGACCATGAGGCAGCCATTTTATGTGGGTCTTATATATGGTTTTGATCTTTAGTCCCTGTCAACTTTGAGCATTTGAAATATTGGGTTAAAAAGTGTCTCTTTTTCAGTAATCTTAGTGTATCTACTTTGGTCAGTTAAAATTATATATCAGGATTCAGGGAACTAATCTTATACTTGTTGAAGTGTTTCTGTAGTATTTGCTTCATTGGGCTTTCTATTGGAGAAGTGTTTTTTTCTTTTACTATAAACTTTTAATTTTTAATTATATCAATAGTACTTTCACACACTTACCAAAGATTAACACATCTAAAAGTGAATAATCTTGGCTTCAATTCATTGAGTGCCTACTGTATTATAGAGAGCAAACATGTATATACATATGAAAATAAAAAGAACAGAAGAAATAGAAATGATTTGTCCTATTTTAGAGAAAAGGCAAGTGTGACTCAGAAAAGTTGAAGAGTGGGTTCAAAATCACATAGCCAGTTTTTTAGCTTTGAAAGGGTACGCTTTCCCCAGTATATTATGTTGTTTTTCTAGTTCAGACTCAGAAAATGATTTGCCTGAAACAGAGCCAACAGCTGTGCTCTACACTGCAAACGTGAGAGGGATTTTTTATCTTGAATGTGGCTTGTTTCTTTATACAAAGTCATTCCTTTTCCACATACAGGAAGCTCAGACTCAGGATGAGTTTTCTTCTTTGTCACATTGACAAAGCAGTAGTTATTTAAAAAGCTTAACCCAAAGCTTCCTGTTACGAAGAATTAAAGTATTATTCAACATAAATAATACTACTCTATTTCCTCTAGTAAAACACCTATCAAAACATTTTATATATACATATCAAACTAAAATATTTTATCTTTATTGACTTTCTCCTATGTTTCCTAGCTCGACAATGCAAACTACCCCATCATCATTTAAAACAAAATCTGTTTCTCACATTTGTGTAGGGATAGAAGCACTCTACACAATCCATTTGGATTTTCCCTAGTCCACAACAGTCCCTTGTTTACACCTAACAATCCAGTCTTATAGCACTTTCATCTACTCATTCTTTCTTCTTGAAACTACCCAGATAAAGACAATATCCTGTGTTCTTTTGAGACAAATTACAACTTAGACTAGGCTCATACTTTTTCCAATATTTCTTTGCCATTTTTTCATTTCAGTGCTATAAAAAGCACGCTCAACAATTGGCTTGCATTCCCCCTGGAGCTTCCAGAGCTGCTAATACAGCTATTTTCATACAATGTACCCCCAGAAATTTTGGCATCTTTATGAATTCTTTTCCCATAAACAAGACCTTTAAGTCCAAAAATTACTAAATCTGATGTTGCTCCCTTTATAATTTTTGAGGCAGAAAATGTAACCATTTTTTCATCCAAACATGATTTTTGTCTTAAAAATCCTAGAAAGAAAAAATGTTTCTTTTCATGCCAAAGTCAGTAGGGATTATTTTACCAACACTAGAGTGGGGACAGGACATTAGAGGCCAGGAAACAGTGTAAGTATATTATATGGAATAGCTTCATTATACAAATAGCAGTGTGTGCATTCAGCAGTGACTGCACAGCCAGTTCCACAGTGGCACTGCAGCACATGTATGCAAGGTCATCTTTGTCTCTGTCTTTATGAAAAGAAAAAAAGTTTGAGAGTGACCATAAAAGGAGTTTTTATGTTTGTATTTATTGTTATGATAGTTGAAATTCCACCATCCCTTGCCTAGCATATAATAATTTTAGAGTTATAATTTGTAAATTTCCACATTTGGTATCACAGAGAGTTGGATTTCAGAAATCATCTCAAAGTGCTTATTTTACAGGTAAGAAAAATGAAATCCTAAGAGACTATTTCACTGCTTGGGTCTGCGTAATTATCTAGTGTCTGGGGCCACATAATTATCTGGTGTCACATTTGCATTATAACCGTCTGTCTGGCTTCTAGTCCTATTTCTTTTCTTAAACCTCCCATTTAATATGCTTTGACACTCTGCGGTAATGACATACAAGGAGACATTTGTGAAGGTGGTTCATGTAATTGGGATAAACTTAATACACTTTAACTTATTTAATCATAGTTGGAAATTGAACCCAAAGATAACACAGAGGAAGGACTTACTGAATTCCTTGAACCTGCCTGACTCTATTAGCTATCTCACAAGCTTTGTGCTTTTAGGTATCTGCTTACTTTTACAGTTGGACATGAAATGTAGTTACATTAATTATAGTTGATTAACACAATATTAAATATCATATATTGAGTAATAAACATAGAGGCTACTTCAGTGAAATTGATTTTTTATTGTTTGCGTGTTTAGCTTTTATGCCTCATACTTTTTAAAATGCCAATAAATTTAAAATGAAGGGCCGGGGATTTAGCTCAGTGGTTCGGTGGCCTGCCTTGCAAGCTCAAGGACCCGAGTTCAATTGCTGGTACCAAATAAATAAATAAATAAATTTAAAATGAGAGAAAACTAAACACTGTGTTAATTTTTAGCATATTTATACTTAGGCTAAGGATGTATAATTCATTGAGACTGTTTTTGTTCTCTTGGCAGGGTGAACAATTGTGTTGGATTTTCAAATTATAAATTCTTCCTCCTTTTCTTGGCTTACTCTCTGCTGTACTGCCTTTTTATTGCTGCTACAGATTTACAGTATTTTATCAAATTTTGGACAGTAAGTCATTGTTTTAATACCTGTTGTTAAGTATACAAAAATATATAGTATACATTTTCATCGGTGAATTATTTCAGACACTGACTTTATAGTACCAAGCTAATTTATGTAGTCAGTCCTCATTATGTGCGCATTTTGTATTTGTGAACTCACCGTCTTCAAACTTATCTGTAGCCTCTAAGTCAGTCCTCACAGTTTATGACAGCCTGAAAATACGTTCAGATTGGCAAAATAATTGAGTGCTTTAGGTGCATGTTCCTGGTGGAGGTAAAACAAGGCAGTGCTCTGACTTCTTGTTTTAGCTCCGTAATGTAAACAAGTATGCTCTTCACAGTCTGGTGCCTTGTTTTGATTTTTGTGCTTTTTGTTTATTTTGTTGTTGAAAATGGTCTTCAGACATAATGCTGAGGTGCTGTCTAGTGTTTCTAAGTAAGACTGGTGTGTCTGATGGAGGAAATACGTGTGATAAATAAGCTTCATTCAGGCATAAACTATAGGGCCCGGTCACAAGTTCCATATTAATGCATCAACACCATACATTAAATAAGGCATCCTTGAGCAAAAGGTCGTATAACACAAGGTTGCGAATTGATCAGTTCATCAAGGTGTGACAAGACACTTGCAGGAACCTAACCCTGTATTTTCCTCAGGAACAGTGCTCTACAGATTCATAAGTATTCACAGGTATTCACAAATTCGGTGTTCACGACAAACTTATATAAGATAACCACTGCAAATAATGAGAATTGACTAGATAAACAGATTTTTTTCTGTATTTAAAAGAAGTGTTTTCTCTTTATGTGTAAATTACTTTAAAAGCTGTTGTATCTATACCATCCTGAATTTTTATTAGATATCCCCTGATTAGGCTTTAGATAGCTCAGATGTTTTCAGCACTGTATTTTAGATAAAGGCAAAGCAATATGAAAATAGAGCATTTTAAATAATCTGTGATAGTCCTTGCAAACACCAAATGATGGATAAAAAGCCTTTTATCCTTTGCCAAGATTGCTTTCTCATTTTCATTAAATTATATTTTATTATGGTAAGACTGAATTGCTAGATTATTTCTGTAAGATTTGAGTCAAATTTGATACCACAGAGTTATCAGATGTTTATTTTGTGTCTGTTGCATTGCTAAGATCTGTAATACACAAGTGAATGGCTGTGTGCCTAGGGTTTGGAGATATTTCCGGTTTCCAGCTTGAGGTGTGTGGTCCCTAATGAATGTGTGGAGTATATTATTTCTCTGCTCCTCGTTCCTGTGGATGGTTTTCATTCCAAACCACATATATATTTGAAAAGGAATGAGCAGAGTTTCCTTTGGGCACACTTGCTGCCAAGAGCTACCGGTAAGGTCCTGTGTCAGTCGGAAAGGTACTACAGGGAATTGAAACACCATGGCTTTGTATCAGGTGTGGCCTCTCCCCGGCAGGTCTGCTGCTTCACCAAGTGTCCATAGACCCCAGCCTTCCCTTCCAGTCCCAAGCCCTGCAGTTCAGGTCTCCCTGGACAAACTTGCTTTCAAGAGGTCTGTTTCAAGCCATGGGTATTGTAAAGTCTACTTTAAATAAGAGTTATTCACTACAGTAATGTTGGTCTATTTCTCGATGCTATCACTTGAAAGAGTTCAAAGCATTAGTGTGGATGTGCTGCTGTATGTATTCTCTTAGCTGATGCTGTTGTTTGTAGTAATATAAAACATCAGTGAGAACAGCAACCAAATTAGGCCAATTAACTTGCATTTTCTGGCATTATAATAAAACTACTTAAACATATGTGAACCTTAAGTATGTTAACAAAACATATCCAAATAGTAAATTTAAAACTACATTTTATAGTTCCTTTTATCTCGCCTTCTACTGTTGCATTTTATGCTCATCAAACATGACTTTTCTATAATTTAGTTTTAGAAAATATAAAAAATAGCCCAATTTTTGACCTTTTCCAGTTATATATTCATATCCTAGTAAACACTTAATATGATATATATAGCTCTAATGAAACTGTGTCTTTTTTCCATACCTAAATTTAATTTAAAAATTTTAGGCAAAATAACTTACAAATTTACTTATAAAAGTTGGGGAATACTTATCCCTTTGACAAAGCATTTTATTTTTTTCCTTTATAGAATGGCCTACCTGATACTCAAGCCAAGTTCCATATTATGTTTTTATTCTTTGCTGCAGCTATGTTTTCTGTCAGCTTGTCTTCTCTGTTTGGCTATCATTGTTGGCTAGTCAGCAAAAATAAATCTACATTAGGTGAGTATCCAATTATTGTAGTTGACAGAACCTTAAATACATACACAGGTATTCAGTGACAGTTGCTGTATGATTAAATGTTGGCCTGCTCTGAAATGGTAAAAATCATTGTTATTTCCTCATTTTATTGTGGAATGTCACTTAGACACATGTAAATGGCTACATTCCATGTATTAGTCATCACTGTATGCAAAGTATTATGTATGTATGGTGGTAAGCAAGGGCAAAGCAGTCTATTGAGGGACACGAAAATTTAAAACAAAGCATAAACGAAGTTATAAAATGCAGAATATTTTGAATGAAACAGAGAATGCTGAAGTATGAACAAACGTGGAGATGATAAAAGGTACCTGTTTAGAATGAGTTGACAGAGGAAGAGCTCACCTCAACAAAAAGAACTTAGCCTAAGAAGTCAGCCATGGAAAAGAACCTTTTAGATAGAAAAAGCAACATCCTCAACATCCTACAGTTATGGGATGCAGCAAAAGTAGATCTAGAAGAAATTGTATTGCTGTAAATGCCTGTATTAAAAAAGAAGAAATACCTCAATCAACTTACAACTTACAGAACCAGAAAAAGAAGAGTGAAGTAAAACCAAAGCCAGCTGTAAGTGTGAAATAATAAAGATAAGAGATCATATCTCTTTTAAGATACCAGAAAATTTGACAAAGCTTAGCTAAAAAAAAAAATATGTAAGAATTCTTCACAAGAGTCAGAAATAAATATGAGGACATTACTACTGACTTTACAGAAATAAAAAGGATTTTAAGATAATACTATGATCTGCTGTACATTGGTACTTTGGTTCTTGAATTTAATTTGTTTTGCCATTTTGGAAAAGATGGCCACATTTGTTTTTGTGCAGGAAGGATAGCTGCAGTCATGTTTGTCACCTGATGTACAGTTTGCAAATAAAAACAAAATTTTGCCAAATGCTTTTGTGAACCAAACTGTTCTCAAACAAAAGTGTTCGTGAACTAAGGTACCACTATCTCCAAAAATTAGGATGGACAGATTGCTAGAAACAAACCACCAAACTGACTCAAGAAAAAAATAGAAAGTCACAACAGATCTATAACAAGTAAAAAGATTGAATTAGTAATAAAAACCTCACAACAAAGAACCCAACATAAGATAGTTTCACTGTTGAATTATACCAAATATTTAAACTGTTAACCCCAGTTCTTCTTAAACTCTGCCAAAAATTAGAAAAGAATGCAATACGTAATTCATTTTGAGACCAGTATTGTCTTGACACAAAACCCAATGATCTGACAAGAAAACAACAGACCAATATCTGTTATGAATACAGATGCAACGTCCTTAACAAAAACACTAGCACACCAAATCTATCAGTATATTGAGTGAATTGTACCCCATGATCAAATGGGATTTTTCCTAGGAATACAAGGTGGTTTGATGCCTAAAAATCAATCAGTGGTAGTATAATGCATTAGTAGAATGAAGGAGAAAACACATTATCATCTCAATTAAGAAACAAATATTTAACAAAAGCAAACACCCTTTCACAATTAAGAAAACACCCAGCCATAGCAAACCAGGAATACAAGGGAACCTCCTCTACCTGAAAAATGGCCCAGTGAACAAGCTGCAGTTAACATCATACTCAATATCAGAAAACTGAAAGCTTCCCCTAACATCAGGAATACAACAAGGATGCCCACCTTTACTGCTATTCAGGATTGTATTGCAAGTTCTAGCAAGATTAAGTGGTCAGCCAAAAGAAATAAAGGCACCCAAAACTAAAAAGTAGAAGAATCTCTATCGACAGATGACGTTATCTATATACAATGGCTGATCAAAACATGGTATGTGTTGGTATTTTTAAAAACTATTATATTAAATGACACATTACCATTCAAAATACTTCACAATACTACCCCTTATTTTAAACCTGTAATTCTTACTATTGCCAAAACAGTTCTGGAAGTCCACTTTTGAGAGTGTCTTCACAAGGTATGATTTAAAAATACAGTGACTTCGGTACTGTGTGCCATCAAGTGGAAAGGCAGGCTCATAAAACCACAGTGTGTTCGTAGATACTTCATTCGCTGGATCTAGCTCCACGCAACCTGTGGCTCTTCTCCAAAATCAAAAACAATAAATGATGAAATGTTTTGAATTAATTCAGGGTATTGAGGCAGCCATAACAGCACAATTGAAGATACCCACAAAAGACAACTTCCAGAAAGTGGCAAGCACAATGGAATTCATGTATTTAAAATGGGAAAGAAGAGGGGAAAGGAAATAAGGGGAAAAAAGAGATGTGAAAACAAGAAAAAATGGAAAAAAGTCTTTGTAAATAGGGAAGGGTGAAGGAGGTGAAGGGAGGGCAGGGGAATGGGAAAAAATAAGAACCAAGATACATCATGTAAAGGTAAAGATCTCAATGATCAATATAATTGTATTGTTTGCTTTAAATGTACTGATAAACTTAACGGGGGAAAAAAGTAAGAGGGAGTATTTTGCAGGGAATTTATGGCAATGTGTCTTTTACTGTAATAAAAATTTTAAACATTCATCATTGTTTAGAAAACCACATATTCCTCAATGTTAGGAATCATTGGTAAATATGTGCTTTTTTCTTTGTGATTGCTTTATCGTTTCTTTTTAGAGGCATTCAGAAGTCCAGTGTTTCGGCATGGAACTGATAAGAATGGATTCAACTTGGGTTTCAGTAAAAACATGCGACAAGTTTTTGGTGATGAGAAGAAGTATTGGTTGCTGCCTATTTTTTCAAGGTATTTTGCTATTAAATTTCAGGGAAAGTCTCTTGTTCTATAAGTCTGCAATTCTGCATAGTAACTTCTGTTTTTTAAGTATAACTTTGATTTCCTATCATAACAACATGAAAGTCAGTTAACCCATTATCTCCCTAAACTGTATGCTGAAGTCAGTGTCTGATCCTCATGTTTTCCCTATAACATGTTCTGTTCCCAGACTTTGTGACTGTGTTGTCTTTTTCATGGTTCAACTGTTTTTATTTTAATTATAGTCTAGGTGATGGCTGTTCCTTTCCAACTTGCCTTGTCAACCAGGATCCTGAACAACCAGCTATTCCTGCAGGACTGAATTCAACTAAAAAGTAATCCCATGTGGTTTTTGTTGTTGTTGTTTTATTCTAAAATAATTAATTTTCTTCTCTTGTGTCCTTTGGCTATATGTTCCTTTGAAAAAAATTTAAGAACATGATATAATTTACTACCATAGTTTCCACTTAAAGAAGGGCAGAGAGTCTGATTGGGGTGGGGTAAATAGTGAACTTCAATTACAGTCATAGAATCTGTTAATGGTCTAGAATAGTGATGGTGAACTTTTATAGATGAATACCCAAGCTGCAACCTAGAAACCACTTACTTGTGCCAATGCTGCAATTAAACCTGAATACTGAGGTTTTAGTTTAGAAGAAACAACTTATACATTAACATCTTTTTTTAAAAACAAAACAAAACAAAAATGTACCATAGGTTCACCACCACTGGTCTAGGACGTCGGTAAACAGGAGTTAAGTCTTGGTATATTTTAGTTGACTGAAACATATGATTTTTTTAAATGTGGCACTTAAAGCAGTGTAAGTCAAAATTAGCTTCCCACCGCTGTGTGAGAAGCCAGGGTAAAATTCCCCTTTAACCCTCCATGTGTTTTTCTTTCTGGTAACTTTTGAAAAGATCAAAAAAAGCTTCTTGGATCAGCCCTTGGAGATCAACTGGAAGCCAGACACCTGTTTGACAATTCCATTAGCAATGTATACTGTATTCTTTGTGCTCTTTAAGAAATTCCGAACATCTCTGAGCTTTGTGTGTGTGTGTGTGTGTGTGTGTGTGTGTAGACAGAAGAGAAGAGGGTCCTAGAAATTGTCTAGAGAACTTTTGCTCCAGATTTAAGCCTTTTAAAAATTCTACTCTATCTTAGGATGGCAACAGAAAGATCTGAAATTTAATTCTGACTTTACTACTAACTGGAAAAAGGCAAAATTACTTAAACTTTTAAAATGCTATATATGAATTTTCAGTCATTTGAACACTGATTTTTATATCTTTCCAACAAATTAGAATTTAATCCTCCTTCTAATTTTTAAGTGAAAATAAATAACAGAAGCATAACTGTAAAATCATTCATTATTAAATTCTGGAGGTTTTCTTAGTTGCTGCAGTATCTCATACACAGGACCCATCCCAATCCTCCTCTTGTCCACCAAACACTTCTTATGGATCATAGTACTTTTTTCTCGGGGGCCTGGAGTGAGCAGAGTCCTTTCCTGGCAACCATTCTGGACTCGTTTTAAGTTGTCAAAAAAGATACGACGTATTCACCATTCCATTGTTAGAGTCAGCTGGGTATGGCCAAGACTACCAGTCAGTGAAGAGGCTGTTCTGATGTATTTCACAGGAAAGTTCAAAGACATTACAGTCTTTTACTGGGTCATACTCTACAAATTTTGGCTTGAAATTTTCACAGAGATAATTGTTAATATACTTCATCATACTTCAAAAAAAAGCGTTTTTATAAATTATTTAAGATATGTATCCAAGCTTTTATAAAATATAATATTAGTTAACAATAATATTTCTTACCCTTGTTAAATGTTTTTTTAGTTTGTTTAAGAACTTGTAGATTTCCAAGATCATATCTCTCCTTTTATCATGGAATGCCATGAGGGTTGAGAAAAATCTTAGGTCCTCTACTTTTGCCTAGCAAAGTGATCTTAAAGTCAGCTAGCTTTTCTGGTCCTCCCTTCTCTTTCCTTTAAATGTTGAGATTAACAGGTGAAGTCTCTTTCTTCTACAAAGTTCTATAATTTCTCTTGTTTAGCCTATACAGACGTTCTATGGCTAGTCCCGCTGTCAGAACTTCATTGTGTATCTCTGCCAGTCTGCTTACATACCCATCTAAACATCTAAATGTCATGCCCATAACGTCTCTTGCAAAAGGCAAGGGATCTAGAGATGGAAAGAGAGGAGCAGAAGAGAAGAAGGGGAAGTAAAAAAGAATCAAGATTATGTGCATTGCCAACTCCCCATAATGAATGTAATTATTATGCATTGCAAACGTGCACTAATAAAATATTTTTTAAAAGTCATCTCCAACTGAACAGGATCAAAGCAGAACTTTTAATTTGATTCACAGCCATTTATGCAGACACATAAGCCTGAATCTCCTCTATTGTCCATGTATCAATATTAGTGAACTCCATTTTCCCAGATAGCCAGGGAGAAATGGAAACAGTGGCATCATCCCACTTTTCTCTGTCAATTATCTTGTACTGCATTTATTCCACCTGCAATTCCTATTAGATATTCCTTCAAAATATATCTATTAACTGATTACTTTCTTACCACCTCTGTGGTGCCTTCCTGGTCTAAGCCACCATCATGTCTCACATTGGTACTTTCTTTTTTTTTTGTACCGGGGATTGAACTCGGGTCTTTGCACTTGCAAGGCAGGCCACCGAACCACTCAGCTAAATCCCCGGCCACATTGCTAATTTCAACAGTTTCCTAATTGCTTTTCCTAGCTCCATTTTTTTCCACTAAGAATTAAATAGAATTATGTCACTCTGCTGATCAGGACTCTCCAGTGGTTTCCTGCCTTATATAGATTTTAGAAGGCAAAAGAATGTCCTTATCACAGTTTATAAGACTCTGATCGGACATGAAACACCTCATTCTTATCACTTTTTTGTCATTTATAATTCTCAGGCACCCAAACTTGCTGTATCTCAAGTACAGCAAGCATGTTCTTTATTTAGTGGCTCTTAGTTGCAAGTTTCCCTTTTTAACAGTTCTGTTTCCACTCATCTTGTAGTTGTCACTCCTCTTCCTGCGAGTTCTTTCTCTAGGTATCTGAATGATCCTTGCCTCCCCTTCATTCACTTTCTGCTTAAGTGTAACTTCACACTACAGGCGATTTTTGATAACTGCATGTAAAGCAGTAACCTGGCTTCCCTTCTCCTTGTGCTATCTTTTTTTTTTCTATTGTCACAGACCTTATTGTCACCTGACTTACTATATATTTAATTTATTATTTTTCCTTAATTACAATGAAATTTCCATGAGAACAAAGAGTATTCATTGGTGTATCAGGTCTCAGCAAATATTATTGAATGAATGTATCTTTGTCGTCTGTTACAGTCCTGTTAGCAGTAGTGAATGTGCAGGGAGTCCCTAATTTAAGACATAGATAGTATTCTGTGTCTCTCTGTCCTTGAGAAATAATAAGAATTAAAGGAAAATTAAAGAGTGTTTTTTGGTTTGGTTTGGTCTTGTTGGGTTTCCTGGGTTTTTGTTTTGTTTCGGTTTGGTTTGGTTTTTTGTTTTCGTTTTTGCTTTTTTACATAAATGGGCACAAATGTGTGGGAACATGCTCTTTTTTTTCAATATTTGCCTCCATAATTTTAGTAAGGAAGCTGTTAAAGCTGCAAAAATTGAAAACATTCTAAATTTTCAGATATAAGGTCATTATTAAGGAGTAAAAGCTTGTCCCTATAATCTTAAAAAATAATGTCAAATAAAATACATGAAATTCTTTTTTGAAGAAATTTAAGTGTTTTTTTTCTTTTGAATATTATTGTAATTATTATTTCAGAGTGTTCTAAAATTTCACTATTAGTTTCTATACCAGTTTTTCCTAAGTGAAATATTATTTTACTTATATTTTTCTGTACCATCCAATATATTGCTATGTGATAGGTCCACCTAAATATTAAAATTTGAATTTTAAAGAAATTCTTTCAAGATTCACTCCCCAAATTACACATGTGGTTTGTAAGATCTGATGTCAAATGTTTTCAACCTTCCTGTAAGATAATGTCCAAATTTGTTGTTGGTTTTGTACAGAGAGATAGAGAATTACTTGTTCAAGACAATTTAGGCCACTTTAAAACACTAAGTCAGGGCCGGGAATTTAGCTCAGTGGTTCCACCACCTGCCACACAAGCACAAGGACCCGAGTTCCATCCCCGGTACCAAAAAAAAAAAAAAAAAAAAAAAAAAA